ACTTGAAGACGCTTCTATATACAATTTCGAATTACTACGCTAATCCTATGCTAATTCTAAGGTTAGTAATTTACATTAATGGTTTCTTTTAACACGACTAAACACTAATTGTTCGATTGTTCCAGACGATTGTTATCCCCTTTTCTATAGTTACTATCGTTACGTACATTTCGTCAATGCTCTTCAATTGTCCAGAGTATTGTCGGGATTATCCTCTCGATAATCGTTACCGTTACGTGTATTAATTATCGTTCGATGCTCTCGATTGTTCAAATAATTGTTGCGATTGTTACCCTCTCGATGATCGTCGCATTCGTTATATTAAAATTTGATATAAATACCTAACGAAATACATGTACGTATGTACTTCTAAATTTGGTTTACAATAGAACTTACACAAGAAATTGATTTTGGAGGGATTTTCATGTAGGTCGTTATGGAAAGATGTTCATACAAAAATTAGCGTTAGGGATCAAAATTACGGAATTAGATGATCTAATGGTATTTCGGTAACACTATTATGGAATCATAAGAAAATGAATTTAAACGATATCGATGTGAAAAGACAAAGTTATTATGATAAAATCATTGCACGATTCAAAGAAAATTACGTCCGAATTTATAAGCAAGGTAAAGTATAAGTAGATTTTCAATATAATTAACTTTTTAAAAAATATGATTCAGACTGCTTTAAAGTACAGTTATTATTATGGAATAACACAATTCAAAGCAAATTACATCCGAATTTATAAACGAGGTAAAATGCACACCTTTTAAAGTGTAAGCATATTGATTTTTTATTTTCAATATAATTAGCTTTTTCAAAATTAGATTCAGACTGCTCTAAAGTTCTCTGCTGATAGTCTTTATGAAGATTATTTAAATATTATGGAATAACTAAAAACCCAGCGACAAATGAATGCTCGATAGTGATGGATTGTGCAAAAGGTGGCGATCTATGCAAATACTCCCTAACCCCCCCCCCCCCTTGGGACCATAGTAAAGCGTGCATTTAGAGAGGGTGTGCACTTATAGAAGGCAAAATATATAGAGCTCTTATGAGCTCGGACCCAGCCATACTATGCATTTAGAGAGGGTTTGCACTTATAGAGGGTGCATTTAGGGCGGTTTGTCTGTATATTAATTCCAACTACGAAGAATTGAATTGGCAAGCAAAATTAAAATCCACAAAGAGAAACTTGTGCTCCTAGTGATGGGAGCCGTGACTAGCCACAACTATGTCGCAATTCTCTGATTGGCTGCCGCAACTCTGCCGTAATTCGCTGATTGGTTGCCATAAGTCGCAATTAGTTGAGACGCCATCTTTATGTGCACCGTGATTTTCACCCCGGAAATATATTAATAAATTATAATCCTATCATTGTTGATTTTGGACTTAGCAAACCAACAGATATAGAAAAATCTGATCAAAAAATTTGCGGAGTACTTCCTTATACTAGTCAAGAGGTACTAAATGGAAAGCCATACACTAAATCTGCAGATATTATAGTTTAGGATGATTACGTACGAGGTTGCCACAGGTGAACGACCATTCGGTGGGCGGAGTCATGACATACATCTCGTATTCGACATATATAAAGAAGTACGACCTACGATACCAAGTAATGTTCCTGGATGGTTCAAATTTTTTATTGAAAAATGTTGGGATTCTATTCCAGAAAACAGACCAACTGCGCGGGAACTTGAAAACTTTATCAACTCTATCGACTATATTGACAAGAAGTGGAAACCGAATATCTTGCATTTTCAGTACCTAAAACAGATGAAGATATTAAAGAGTGTCTTAAACTAGAAAAGCAGAAATGGAAAGAATTTGATGAAAAGATGAAAAGAAATATGAACAAAAAACAAGAAATCCACTTAAATGCAGTTTACACCAGTCGAATCTTAAAAATTAATTTCAATTCCTACTGAGACAGGTACTTTCTATTCCTAAATATAATTCAGATTAACATTTTACGTTAATTAAAGTTTATATCGAATGTTTAGGCTCTACTAGTGTCCGTTTGTATGTTCCAAACGATTTCGATTTCAGCATACCACATGAAATCAGAGATGTCGAGTAACTTGTACATTACTTTTGATAAAAAGTTTTATTTTATTGACATCGATATACGTAAAAGTTATTCTTTCTAAATTTAAAGTGTTCCGATACAAGACCTTATATACATGTATAACGCATGGTGCGATATGTACATTTATCCTTTTAGTTTAAATATCGCTATCGTCCATCTTTTTTTCCCTGATATATACCTCATCAGATTTCAATTTCGTTGGATCATTTTGATTTCCCCATTCAACCGCAGGCGCCCGAATGTCTCGCAAAGAAAATCGGAAACCATTCACACTCTTTGGTCGTAATTGTTGCTCGTTTGTCAATGTCTAGTAATACTTTTGTTCATAATTTGCATAGGAAATAGCAATATGGCGACTTATGCAACCCCTAAAAATCTGTATAGAAAACAATTAACTGAGTTGCTTTAAAGACGAACAATGCGAAGCATAATTCAAGATCAATTTTTCTATGAATAGACCTTAATTTGTTTTGTGTAAGTATTAAGTTTACATAAACAGATAAAACGGCGAACTTAATAAATAAAAGTAGGCCAGAAATATACTCTATTTTTGGATTTCCTAAAGAGTCGAAAGACAATAATTCTAAGCTGTCGCGAAGTTGAAAATGATACTACGATGGCTCTAACTGTATTACAGGATTAGTTTCCTTACACGAAAAGGACTTTGTTCATCGTGACTTACACAGTGACAACATTCTACTTAACGAGAACGGCAAATATCACCTTACAGATCTTGGAATCACGAATAAAGAAGTTGTACAGTATATATAGCGATAGAAAAATAAGCGGAATCCTGAAATTTGATAGTATATACGTATATGTATAGCATACGTAGTAGCGATCATATGGGTGTACGTATACAAGTACATTATTCGATCGATATAGGTATGTAGTACGTACGTATCGGTATATACATGTAGTAAATTTTTTATGAATCGATCGGATTTGTTTAAATATTTTCTCGCTTATCGTTAATAATTAGCCAATTAAATATAATAAAAATCTCACCTGGGGGGGGGGGGGTACATCTATAGTAACTCGATATTATGCAAATATGTCACACCCCTTATCGTTATCATTATTTTAGATATCAATATCATTTATGATATTTATATTTGTAGGGCGTCGTAGGAACACAACTTTAATCTCTATTCTATCTTCACAATTACTATCTTCACAGAGCAATTTAATATCAGATATGCGAAATTCGGTAAAAATCAATTGGCTACCAAATCATTAATACATGTACCGGTACGTATCGATAATCGAACAAGCAACGTGGCGTGGAATCAACATTCGAAATATCGAAGTTCACTTTTTAATTAATTGCATGTTATGTTGTTCAGTTGATCCTTAGTAATAAAAGGACAGTACGGCTGAACACCGCATGAGATCAACAAACCAAGTAAGGAACGTTCAACTCGACGAATCTGTTAAAAAAAACAAAAAATGTATGCATATTACATTCATCAATGCATTACACTAATTGTTAATTTACGTACCTTGCGGGCAAAATAATTTTCACCTTTCTCGGTAACAACATTCTTCACGAGAATAGTCATCATCCCATTCATGTTCCCGTAGAGAACATCGGTGAAAATACGATCTCCGATGACAGCGATCGCGCGGTTATTTTGGTTGGTGTTTGTATTTTCTTTGTTAAAATGTGAAATTAGGGATTCGCCGCCGCCTGGTTTCTGTAGAATGAGGATTAACAGAATACTTTTTAATAATGACTCAGCAATTATGTAACTCTGTTAATTGTTAATATTACCTTTAATTTATGTTTTAAGACTTTGACACCTGATTGGTTATTCGAAATTAAATTTTGTCACGTTTCAATATGAAAAAAAGGTAGCTAAACACTAACCTAGTGTTCGTTCAATTTCATTTGCCTACATATAGAAAATAACTTCATAAAGATAAATCCTTAAATTCCAGAGCAAACATAGCATATACTCACACTTTTAAAATCCTGGTCATCCGGAGTTCCAGCAGAATTCGACACTATCACAATATTATCAGACCCAAAATTTTCTTTGCATGATTCCCACGCTTTCTAATAAAAAATTATTAGCGTTACGTTACTAAACATCAACCAATAAATAAAAATAGAAAATCAATACAATAATCACCTCATATAGTGGATGCAATGAATCTTGATAAGGAGCTGTCAAAGTATTATCTTTATCAAATGCCACGGCTCGAACTCCAGCTTTTTTCAGTTGCACAAAATCAATCTCCCTAATATCTATGCACTCAATCAATGTATTTTGTCAGCATTACAAACCAACTACATGTATAATAAACTTAGTATGGATAAACTACCATTGACAAAAACGTGTGGAACAAGCAATCGTGGATTTCGTAATGAAACAAAAATGTAACGTAATGATTGCAAATTTAAGCTTTGAACCATATCGATATTTTACATAATCTTTTGTTTGTGTACGTATGTAATGAGATACTGTTCATGTAACTGTGTGAGTCATGCGTCAGTACTACATTAAGAGGTTTTATACGTGTATTCCCGATCGAGTTCATTCGTCAGTTCGGATGTATGATCAGACAACAGATCACGGGCAACATGATTATCCTTGAAAATTTTTCTTATAATAGTGGATAGTTTTTTTGTGTGAAAAAGAAAAATACCAGTAACACAAAGAATGGATACCAAGTTAATTAAGCCGTGTGAATGTACATGCTGCATTGGAATAAAGCGGAAATCTGAATTTATTGACGAACAGTCGAGTTCGCAAAGACAAAATTCTACTAAATATGCTAGAACAATTGATTACGAAGAGAAAAATTATGATTATTTTGGTCTTTGTTACCCAAATTCAGCTGGTGCATCATGTGTCTTTATAAATACTGATATTCAAGCTTTACCCAGTGTACCATCTTACCCCTCCATATCATCATCCTCCTCGTCATCATCAACTCCATTTAAAGTTAACAGCCTAACCTCTAATGTATCCAATAGGCTACCGGAACTACCCATTCCTCGATTCTCTTCTCCGATATTACCTCCATTAATGCCGAGAATTCGACCAGCTAAACTATCATTATCACATAATTCCAAAACTATGAATTCTGATGTCCACATACTTAATAAATTTTCTTTAAATAACATGATTGTGGAGTTCAATTTACCACCGAAGGTTCACCTATGGTGCAATGTTGAAGAAAAAGATAATGACTACAATAAAAAAGATCGAGTAAATTCTGATCTCGAGGAGATCGGGAGCAGTAATCCAATTAATTGCGCACACGTTGACTGTTCCTTAGAAGCAAAATTAGATTACAACGATCAAGCAAAACGATATTCGTATTGCTCTTCAGACTGTTTCTGGCTCGAAGCGAAAAAACTGAATTCCGTGAAAATGACCCAAGTCCAAGAAACCGATCCGGACTATTCAACAGTGCGATCGAAATTCCTATTTGGACTACCAAACGCGAAAATCATCGCGATCATTAGACTACAAATGCCAAAAGACATTACGCTACGATATCAAAACTACTCACTGCAGGTAGCATTGGAAAATGGAGTTCCGACAAAAAACGTGATCCATAGTATGTTCCATGGCACTCCCGCTGCTTGCTTTCCTTTAGATCTCGTAATTCTTAATCGAGTATGCAATAGATTTTGTGGGATGTGCGGGATCGCAAAAGAAGGAAATAAGTCTATTTGTTCGAAACGTCGTGGAAGTGAGTACAAGATTTCGTTAGTCTGTGAATGAAAATTATTACCGTTACAAGTTTTGGATGATAATTGATTTTTATTTTCTATTAGGAATGTGGTTTGCGAGTAGTTCTCGAGTGTCATTAGGCTACTGTGGTCGAAACAACACAAAAGCGATGTTTCTTGTTGACGTCGTGTCTCCGAAGTGTGATCGAATTTTAATTGTTAACAAAGACAAGGTTTGTATATTAAATTTTTTTTGAATTTCCGATTACCTATACTAATATTTGCATTTTTTATGTGACAGGCAACACTTCCAAGATTTCTTATAATTTTCGAACACGATCAATATAACCACCAGCCTATAAGGTCTTTAAGACGCCACAATATTATAAACACTAATGGCAATTAAGATGTGTAATATTGACACACGATTCACTTACTGGACTCTATTTTTAAGACATGAATTTTTAATATAACCAATAACGATAACGATAACGATAAGAATAAAAATAAATTTAAATTTAAATACAATAATATGTAAGTATAGCACACACACTATTTATACACCACATATAGAATTCGTTAAGGTAAAGTAATTTAACTATTTAAGCATGTAACCTTCATTTAAACATATGAAAATACCTTATAACTTGTAAAAATATAAAATAAAAATTGTCATGATCTATTTATTTATCTATTATAATCCGATATAGTCCAAAACGGTCTATAATAAATCCTCTCGTCATAGAAAAATTTCTTACTAATAGTCCGGATGCCTTTACTATAACAAGAGTCACCTGTGCAAGCTTTGACCCAGTCGTGAACGATTACCTCTTCCGAAAAATTAATTTACCCAAGGATCAAAATGGTCATCGTATGGTTTTAGATGACGACTTTTATTTCAAAAATTTTTGGATTATATTGGATAAAATAGATATTAACAATGCCAAATTTCCCAAGCGAAAACGCAACTAACCAGCCAACAAACTAACAAACGACCAAAAAAGAAATTGTCAACTCAAAGCAACTATCACCAAAAAAACCAAGCAACTCGCCCAAATTAGCCCAAACACTAATCAGCAACAACGCCAAGAATTACAAGCCGTTAACGCTGAATTTACCTCACGCGACAAAAAATTCACTGCGGAGGTCCAAAGAATCTTGACATTGCTTAATACTTCTATCGGGAGTAAAGATGGCGTCTCAACTAGTTGCGACTTGTGGCAACCAATCAGCGAATTACGGCAGAGTTGCGGCAGCCAATCAGAGAATTGCGACATAGTTGTTGCTAGTCGCGGCTCCCATCACTAATCTGGAAACTCGATGAAATCGAACGTACCCCCATGATAATTTTGGTAGAATCGAATCGCATCCGAATTCGAATCAATTAATGGATCTATTGCAACGCTCCAAAACGAGATTAATCAAGAATCGAACCTATCGAAGAAGCAGAACCTAGAGACAACGACTCATCCTCATCAGACCAACAAAGTGATGCAAATCAATCAGAAGCTTCTTCTGGTTCGAGCCAACGATCATTTTCAGATATTACTTCAGCAATCTGGAACCAGTTTAAAATTATTTTTGATAGGATTATGGCAGAAAGAGGATGTGCTTTTGATGATATGTGTAATATTGTTGTGGTTGATCTTCTTAGCTTGGGGTGGAAAACTTAGTAGAGATATAATCAAAAATTATTATCGTAGAATTAATGATTTAAAAGGTAGCAATTTAGATAAAACAGGTGCTTGGATCGATAGCAAAACAAATGTAGTTTCTGATAATTCAGAGTAGCGGCAAGGAACTCTTATTTATGGGTTATGGCTCGAGATGCTTCATCCCTTTAAACGTCCGCTACTCTAATATTTTTATTTCTTTGTTCATATTTCCAGCAAAGCATGTATTTCTCTTAAAATAAAATTTTCTTATTATTCTTATTATTGATTATACCTTTTTTACAACCTTAATTTTCTCCTTGCTTCTAATTTTATGTTCATCTTACTATATAGATCATTTTCATCATAATATGGTCTTTTCTTTTGCGGTTTCTTCTCCTATTCCTCTAATTGTTTTTAACTCGTAATCTTTGGCAGTATTGGCATCTATCGTGTCATTAGCTATGCGAACAAACGTAAAAGAGTACATAATTATATAAAAATCTCTCAGATGACAAATTATGAACCCATACCTGCAGAAATTCGGCACGGCTGGAAAATGTATACTCGAAGAAATCTTTGAAATTTTCACTATCTAACATGAAGCAGTTTTTTTGTAACGAATCCAAAGAATTTGCTGTGCTTGGTCCATTTGTACATATAAAAATGACCCAGTTCTTAATGGGGAATTCTTCGAATGAATTCTGCAATGGTGAACATCCGATTTTTAATTGAATCCAGAAGTGTATTGTCATTTGTATATTGTTGAACTTGTGTGCATAGTAAAGTTAGCAATTCCTGGATTAAACGGCTCTTTCCTGCACCTGGTCCATTAGCCAATATGGGGATATGATGATTGTTTCGGTCTGTTGCCTTGCTTTTTTAAAACCTTTGGCAAATTCCATTTTGCCATTCACTGCCTTTAAATAATATTTCCATTGCTTCATCTCGACCTCGAAAAGGAAATTTGGCACCATACGTATCTACTAACTGATAAAGTTTATAAATTAGCGTGCAATCAGAATATGAAAATACAACATACTTTGGGTGTCGCAATTTCATCTGAACGCTTCAAATTTTTTATCCAGTTATAAACTGATTCAGTGTCACGCCAATTATCCGTATCTATACCATTTATATGTCCGGAGCTAAAAATTTAATTATAAATAATTATTTATTTAAAAAATTATTAGAATAATTATTAGAATATTCAGAACTTTTTGTGTTCAACCAATCAGGAGCATGAAAGCCAACGGACAGAGTTCGCACGTGCTTATATCGATCAAATAAGTACATGTAGTAGATGATTATGTCGATCAAATAAGTACATGTAGTAGAAATACACACCCCTACAGTATATTACCAGAAATTGGTTGTGCAAAATGCTGATCCAAAGTTTAAAAAGCCAATTTTATTGGCATCGTACATAATAACACAAACACAATAATAAACAAAAAACAATTCCATTTTTTCTCTTTTTTATAATGCGTGGAAAGGAGTTGATGAACAAACAAAGAGAGCAAATAATCAGCGCTTATCTCACTGGAGTCAAAGGTCTAAATCTTGCACTTAAATTCAATATTCCTCAAGCAACAGTATATGATACCATCAAATGATATAGAGAAACCAATTTTCTGCATCCTGAAAAACATTCTGGTTGGCCAAAAACTCTGATCAATCGTGAAAAACATACACTAAAACAAGTTATTCTAAAAAATCAGTTTTCTCCACTTGGTGAAATCACAAATGAACTAAATGGCAAACTCAACACTTCTTACCATGCTAATACCATCTGCAAATACTTAGATAAAATAGGGTTCGGAAGCTACACTCCAAGAAAAAAATCCCTTTTGATTCCAAATCAAGAACTTCATCGATTAAATTGATGCCGAGAGAAATATAACTGAAAAGCACAATGGAAAAATATAATCTGGTCTGACGAGTCCAGATTCACACTTTTCGAATTGGATAATCAGGTAAGAGTATGGTGAAAACCTGGTGAAGCTTATCATCAAGCATGTATTAAATCTACTGTTAAATTTGGTGGAGGGTCAGTGATGTTTTGGAGATGTTTCAGTTGGGATGGGGTTAGTCCTTTGGTGCCAGTAGAAGAAATCATAAATTCAGATGTCTATGTTAATATTCTTGTCAATTATTTTGTATCCTGGGCTCGCCAATATTCACATATTATGTTTCAACAAGATGGCGTGCCATGTTACATCTTGATATATACAACTTGGTGGATGTCAACACATGGCATTCGACTTTTGGATTGGATTGGTCAAAGCCCTGACCTCAATCTGATTGAACACCTGTGGGATATTTTGGACCGCCGAATTCGAAAAAGAAGACCGTTACCTACATCAAAACAAAAATTAATTCGTATGTTACAAGAGGAATGGGTGAGTATTGATTTGGAAACTTTGCGTGAGTTAATTTTGAGTCTACCT